TGAACAAATACCAAGTAACGACACAAAAAGGAACAACGTTAATTATGAAACTGTAAAGAGTGACCGTATTGAAATTGTCAACAGAGACACTGGTGCGAGCAGTAAATTTAAAGTTAAAATTGACATCAATATTGCCAACAAAACCTTTGTTTAAGTTCATATATCTATAAAAGTAGATTAGCGTTTTGTTTATATATATTTAAATCAACTTACATTCCGCAGCTTGCAAATTATTAGATACTAAACAAATGCTTTATCACACTAGAGCGTCAATTATTCCCTTGTTTAAGTTGTAAGTTAACATAGAAATTAGAAGAATAAGACACATTTTGTGGAAAACAATTTTTAAAAATTTTAACACCACTACCTTATATGGGTATGCTTAAATTAGCATACTTATGTCATCGCAAATATAATTGTTTATTAACGTATGACGCAATTTTTTTACCTGGGTTTTTGACCAATCCACTTAATGAGTATCAATGCATTATGGACTACTATGTTGTTACGATCAATAATAATAAAACACATTTTTTTCATGCATTGCGTGATAAACAATTCCGCTTAGTTTTTCATCTTTTGTATCTACATTTATAGTCCGTGATATAAAGTATTTGTTCTATGCTCCGATTAACGAATAGTTTTTTCTATGCGAAGAAACGTTTGTTCGATTTACCCGAAATATAGCCATCAAATATTATTGATGATTAAGCGAACGCTTCAGATATTCGTCCACAAGACAGCAACGAAACAACAGTGAAAAACACAGTTACCCATAAGATGAACTTACATTCGGATAGTTAAAAAAAAAAGGGATCCTAGAATTTGGATTTGGTTTGTAAAAAGGGGAAAGACTTACAATGTGTCAAATATCTGTTAGGGTTACTGAAATGCCCCAGCTTTTCACGTAATTCATGTAATGATATTGTAAAATTGAGAATAGAAATGGGGAATGTGTCAAAGAGACAACGACCTGACCATAGAGCAGACAACAGCCGAAGGCCACCAATGGGTCTTCAATGCAGCGAGAAACTCCCGCACCCGGAGGAGTCCTTCAGCTGGCCCCTAAACAAATATGTATACTAGTTTAGTGATAATGGACGTCATACTAAACTCCAAATTATACACAGGAAACTAAAATTTAAAATGATACAAGACTAACAAAGGCCAGAGGCTTCTGACTTGGGACAGGCGCAAAAATGCGGCGGGGTTAAATACTTTTATATTTGTGTGTGGAAAAAAACACAGACTTTTTAAGAGACAGATTCATTCTCTTCTCGGTTTAACATACATGTGTATGCATTCACTTCAAGTCCTTATTTCATGTACTTGACAATCTTTATAATGAGCGAATATTTTTATTTTGTTTTAAAAAGCTCAATCATACAGCATGATTTATATGACGGTTTGCTTAACTTGCTAAGCAAAGAACCGAAATACAAAAGCGGCTCATATTTCTTAGAGTGCAGATATATTAAAAAAGAAACATTATATTCATTGATATAGTATCACATTGGAGGAAAGATATTTTCCCTTCCTTTCATTAATTGTAACAGTTTATTTGTATTAAAAAAAAAAAAAAACTCTCTTTTCTGCTGTTTTCTTTGCTCTGCTTTTGATAGTTTCTGGATTACATTTTCATTAGTTGAACCGTTCATTTCATCACCTGTATTAAAGATTAAGTATCAATTGTTGAAAGCATATTCAAAATTTACAACAACAAAAATAACTGAAATTAATTTGCCAACTGCAAATACAAGTTTAATCTCAACTATGAATAAGTAAACGGATACAGTTATTAGTTTTAATTAGATTCGATAAAACCTTTTGAGAAATTGTTTCTGTTTTAATTTTTTTTCCTTGTCATATACGGAATAAAATAATTTATTTCTTATGCAGCAAAATACTGCAATCTGATTGGTTTATTAACCGGTGTAAATAACACCCCACCCTTGTTCACCCCGGGATACATAAAATTTTGCCAAAATAAAGAAAAAAAAATATAAGATGTCAATAAAAAAGAAAATAAATAAAATGTCAAAAAAAAATTAGAAAAAAAAAAATTAAAAATAAATAAATTTGAGGACAAAAATTGAAATTTTTTTTTTTCTAAATATTAAAACAAATTTGTTTCCCAAAAATTCAAAAGAACACAAAACTTTTCTGAATTTCCCTAAAATAAAGAAAAAAAGTATTTGACAATGCGCAGCAACATCGACGTTGAAAAAATGATACACCGGAAATTTTCATTACAATTTTTCAATTTTACATCCTGGTTTAAAAATGAGTAAAGGAATTGTTCAAAAGAAATAAATTCGTTATCTTGGTGTAATCAGGGGTGTACGGAATTTTACACCGTTTTTGAAAATTCATACACCCATTCGGCTGCTCCTCAGGGTGTAAGAATTTTCAACAACGGTGTAAAATTCTGTACAGACCTGATTACACCAAGATAACTAATAATATTATTTTCGGAATAATATATTTAAATTAGTTTTTAATATTACTCTTACCTTATCCCCTATCCATATGTGTTTACTTTTATCGGCTTGTCCACAAAGCAACATGAATTTTTCGTCCCGATCAGACGTGATCAGTTAACGCTGACGTCATAAATAAAACATACTTCATAAAGACCTAAGACTGCTCTTTCTAGAATGCCTCATTTTTTGGTAAAAAGTTTAAACAAAAACGAGGGTAGCATTGACAGAACGATGGTCATATGTTGCGGTGTTACTTGTCCACACGCAAAAAATCAGTATTATTTGGGATCTTTCGAGTTACAAAATGAAAAAAAAAATAGATTTCAAGGCATATTTCATTTCTACTTTTAATTACGTACATTTTGATATATACATTTATATAGTTATCAATTTAAAAACTTCAAACAAATACAATAAAGGCGAACTGGAAAGCAAAATGAGTGTTATCACCAACACCGTATTGGACGTCTATGTATTCATTATCTTGTATCTAAGAGGCAAACATTAACACCTTTAAGATAGATTGGTTTTCCATTATCTTAAAAAAGGATATCTAAAATTTAGAATGGAAATGGGTAATATGTCAAAGAGACAACAACCCGACTAAAGAGCAGAAAACAGCCGAAGGCCACCAATGGGTCTTCAACACAGCGAGAAAATCCCGCACTCGGAGGCGGGCTTCAGCTGGCCCCTAAATAAAAAAAAAATATACTACAGAATTATGTGTAATATTAAAAATTTATAATATGACAGGTACAGTGTATGCATTAAACCTATATCAACTATCATAATTCATCAAAACTGTTCATGACTTTCTTAAATCTTGTCTGGCAATGCTAACAAAATCTATAAGGTTTGATTTTTTTTGGCATATTCGAGTTTTTTTTTCTATCTCAAACAGTTCTTTTGAGGTAATGAAGTAATATTTTCTCCAATCATTGCAAGAAGCTGTAGTTTCGTTTTGTTTTCGGTTTTGCAAAGGTCATTTTATTCTATTGTAGATATTGGAAATTTTGATATTTTTAGCGGACTCGGTTATTTTCTAATCTTTATAAGATAATTTATGATGCTATCCATGTTTATGTGCGACAAGGACATAAACTTTGATATGTTTTGTGAAAATTGCAGCGTTGGATCTAAACCTATTTTGTCTCCTTCTTTTATTGGATACAATTGTTTTGCTTTTCTTAATTCTGCTCGAACCAGGTCCCTTTCGGATTTGAATTCCTGTATTTGTCTCGGTTGCTACGTATATTCAATTATTTTAAGTAAAGAGTAAATGATCTCTGCCAAAATGTCAAGAGTTTTGGTTTTTTTTTAGTTACTGTTTCCCGTTTTATACTGTTAACAAACAAATTGTCCACACCAGATATCTGTTTTTTAATGTGACCATGGTTATGAATATATTCCTCTAATATGAAATCTAAACCCTAATGAGCATCGATGCGACCACTACGGGAAAAAGATTCGTGTTTATTTAAACTATTTTGAATTTCAATGTTTTTGGAATTGCATTATACAGGATATAAAAAATCCAAGAGCAAAAATAAATATAGAGAGGCTTGCAACCGTTTTGGTAGTAACAGTGGTCACTTCTTTGGAAATTTCACTGTTTCACGTTTAATTAATTCATAGGTACAATACATAACAATGGACAAAACATGTTCAACTACTTTTACAAGGCGAAAAAGAAAGTCGAATCGTGTGACCAGTAAACAATATTTTTTTTTTCAATCTGAGCATCCCAATTGAAGATTGTGTTATATATTTTACAGATTATACATTGGCTGAACAAACATCTGTATTATGAGTGTCACAGACACTATATAAAAGAGGGGCGAAAGATACCAGATAGAGGGACAGTCAATCTCATAGATCGAAAAAAAAACTGATCTCAGGTGCTCCGGAAGGGTAAGCATATTCTGCTCCATTATATAATTTGACAGTTTTCCCACTAATTCTATGTGCTTTAAGTAGTAGTAAACTCGTAATATGCCACTATGCATTGCAGTTCATTGAGTCGATTAGTAAGTTTTTCAAGGACATGTTTACCTTCTATTTGGGAAACTACAATGCAAATATATATTGACGTCAGGAAATGTAGTGATCCTTACGTGTTAAACTGCTGACAGAGAAATGTTTAACAAACCATGGGAACAATTTAATTTAAATACCCATTGTGTAGCGGTCAAACACTGTAGTTTTTTATATGAAACTTTATAACATACATTTAAATGAAATTTAATGGTACAATAAATATGCGTAACGCTTTATTGTTTTGACATATCATTTACGACAATTTTTTAAAGTATGTGCAGAAGAAGAGAAAATGAAGGACGGCCATGTTAAAGGAAGTTCGATGATAAAATATAAAATTTTCATTTAATCCAAAATCAAATATTGCATACCTCATTATTTTAAAAACCAGGACAAGAAGAATTAACTATATGAAACTTACAATCTGATTAAAATTCTGACCTGTCGTAACTCGCTTACTCGTCAATGCATAACGAAACCAAAGACATATATTTTAATCAGATTGTGCAGGCACCATAAAAATGGTTAATACATACAATCACCAGTACATTAAACTATACCAATTTTTAATTAACATAGGCAGATGTAGACAAATAATTTAAAAATAAATATTCGATTATCAAGGCCTTTCAGCAACCGTCGACTGTACTTCAAATTTGGCTTAAACAATAAAATGTTTTGTACGTCGTACTTCTCAATTACACGACATCCTGTCTATGCTACTTCTCTATACATTTTACGTGGGAAAAAACAGCAAAAGCTGCACATGGCAGTCCTGATATTTCCACACCCCAATGGTCTGACAATCCAACAGCGGAATACTAAAAAAAATGAGTATTTTTATATTAGAAAGCCAAATAAAAGGTTCTTTCAATATTGAAAGGAGGACCTTGTCTTTCGATGGAACAGACAATTGCGGTTATCAAGATATGTTAGTTTATGGATGCTAAACATGTTAAACAAAACATATATGTGTCTGTATACACGCTATCCGATAATGTACAAATTGAGAAAAATTTAATACGAGGGTACACACAATAACACTTTAAAAATTGTCATGCATTCGAGGCACAAATTTGGAACAGTCAATTTGGATCGATAGTTTTTATGTTCCCTCCGGGCCTTTGTTCTCTAATTCCTAAGTAGTATTAAGAATTAAAGATGTTGTTCAGAATGTAAATTGAAATAAACAAAATGACTCAGGGGTTCAAAAAATATGTAAGACATTGATTTTTTACATAAATTATTCAGATATTTATTGGTTGAATAGAATTCCTTACATTCTTATACCTATATGTAGCTCTCTTTTTTTCAGAATCAACCCGAACGATAACACGTTTCATTGACATCTGCTTCAAGGCATAACATAATGACCTGTGTAAGGTTATAAATTTTCCTTTTTAAAATGCAAATTACGGGTCGGTCTTTCTTTTGATCAATCCCGAGTCTCTTCGGTGTGTAATACGACCAAAAAAAACTTAACATATGCATAATCTGACTTATATACCGTCAAACATTTTTATTTTGTGCACATATTTGCAGGAAGTTATATTACATTTTACCGATCTCATTCAAGTGGGATATTTTTTCTCAGGCATTTAGGTTTTATTACGCCCAACGGCTCAATTATAAGGTGAAATAAAACTCCATTATATTAAAATAAAAGTAAGCACTGTCCAGTTCAATTAAATTTTTACTGTAATTGCACGAAGCAAGAAATAAATCAATTGTTTCGGAAAATTAATATACAAGTCATACACTTGGTAAGTAATCTTTTATGATAATCTTATAACAGCATGAACAGGGAGTGTTAAGTTTTTCTTCTGGTTTTATGATATTTTTCCGCAAAAAACAACAATTTATAAAGGAACGTATTCTGAATAATTGTGTTACCCTTTAAGCCTGGCAATACAGTTACTCTTTTTAAAAAAAAAAGAATAAGGATAGAATATTATATAATTTATCTCACAAAACTGTGCGCTAATTCCGTGTTTTTGTACCAGTTTTTCAATCTAATAGATAGAGTAATGAATATGTAAGATAGAAAATGGTTTAGAAAACCCCCGATTGACAACAACACGCGATTAATAACCAAAGATTTTTTTATCAAACTGTAGTAGTTCGATTCTACAAAAGAATGATATATCGTTCCGAAATAAAATAACTCCATACATATAGGTATATAGGTTAGTTAATTCATTTAAGGTAGATCATAAGTATATACTTTTTGAGATAGAATTTTCTTATACTTTGCCAAAAGGAAGATTTTAATTTGCTTTTTACAAAAATATAATAAAAAGTATGGGTCACTGTGCTATTTTCCAAGCTTTAAGTTTCAATTGAAAATTGCCTACATTTGGTTAGATTGTTCATGAAAAAAACACATTTGTGTACATACAAAAAATTCTATGAGATAGAATTTTGAAATAAATTATAAGAAGTTAGGTTTTATTATGATTTTTTTATTATGTTTTAAAAAAATAAGAAGAAAACATTGTGTCGACGAACTTGTTTTCTTGCTTGAAGTAAAAATAACAAAATTTCCCTATCAGTCTAGTATATATTTTTTACTAAAAGAGTTATCTACCCTTAAATGGCTTATTTGAAAACAATGATTCTAAAAACACAAAATTTGATATTTGTTTAAATATTTTGAATAATACAATAAATAACCAAGTTTTCTTTATATAAATAAACAACCTAACCATTAAATTGCAAATCTGTCTCCAAATTTGCAGATTCGGGCAAATAACTTGACAAATTTTGTACTGAGATTGTACAACTCAAGATGGCGGTATACCATGAATTTACCTTAATTCATTAGATAGTAATCGTGTGTTGTTGCCAGTTGGTTGTTAACTGTACAATGTATAGTAGTCGTTTAAGGTTTTAGGCAGAAATAATCCTTTTTCCCGATTATAAGACTGAAATACCAAATACCAAAATTAAAACAAGCCAAATGGTATTATATTAATGTGTCTGATTATTAAAAAAAATCAAGTTTCAATCTTATTAGATATGCTGTTACAGATTATTTTTATTTTCTGTACATGTTCATTCGTGTGAAACAGTATTTGTCTGACTCAGGATAAGATAAAAAGTTATATGTAATTTCCTACAAAAAAACTTAAAATGAAATCAATATTTAAATGGAGAAATTTGACTACCTGAGACTAGGTTTATAATTTATTACACTTTTGTCAATACTTTGTTCAAATAATGATATTTAATAAAATATTACTGTTAACATGATAATACAAAAAAAGAAGCGATTTCAATCCCATATTGCGTTTAATATTTTAATTAATCCAAGAATAAAAGCATGGAATCATAATGAATCTATTCAACTTCGAGGTAAGATTTTTCCTATCGTTTTGTAATTTGTTTTTCTTCCTTTTACAAGTAATTTTGGCATGTTCGCATTTCATTTGTTGCTGACCACAACTGTTCTTGGTGTTTTGTTGCTAGCCACACCTGTTCATTTAATTTGTTGCTGACTACAACTTATCTTGATTTTTGTTGCTAGCCACTAGTGTTCATTTCATTTGTTGCTGACCACAACTAATCTTTATTTTTTTATTTCTAGCTACAATGTTTATTTCATTTGTCGCTGACCACAGCTGATCTTGATTTTTTGTTGCTAGCCACAATGTTCATTTCATTAGTTGCTGACCACAACTGATCTTGATGTTTTGTTGATAGCCACAAGTGTTCATTTCATATTTTGTTAGATACAAGTGTTTCAGTCATTTGCTGATGATCTCAACTGCCGTTCATTACTACTGTTTTTGCTTTTGATCACGATTGTTCTGGTCACTAGCTGATTACCATAACATATCTTGTCATTTGCTGTTGTTCATTTCTGTTCTTGTCAATTGCTGTTGTTCATTTCTGTTCTTGTCAATTGTTGTTTACCACAACTGTTTAGGCATTTGTTTTAGACCACAATTGTTCTTGTAAATTTGCTGGGTACCAAAACTGATCTCGTCATTTGCTTTTGATGACAACTGAATACTAAGAGAGCAATACAATTTCACAAGTATACCATATGACATGCAAACAACATGTACAGGTTCACATAAATATAAAGAGACAATAATGAAAGTATTTATTGGAGAAATGATTTTACGGTTCAAGTGAATATTAATTTGCGATTTATATGCTGAAAAGCAAATAATTTACTCAGCGAACAGCGCTAAGGCCATAAAGTTAACATGTAGTTTAAGGTAGATAGGGTGTCTTCCTCCATCTTGGATTTTGAAATACCAGAAAACAATCGGTCTAGATATTTAATAAAAGGTGCAAATTTTGAGAGTAGTAGGTAATTCATGTGTAAGAATTTTCATTTCAATATAGAAAATGACATATTTTATCATATTTATGGTTGTATTTTACAAAAAAACAGAATACTTTTGTTTGATTCTATTTTTTCTAACTTTGCCACATAAGGGGAGGCAACTCAAATGTAAGGGCAGATAATTCAGATAAAGTTACTTTTACAATAGAATGTGTTAGGAATTTACCTATTTTATTATGTAGCAAGAAAACGGGTCCCGTGACCTCATTTTTTCTTTTTCTTATCTGAAAGCATACTATTAGAGCTATCTTCTCATATTTTATCTCAAAATTCTATGGTGTAGTTTTCGTTTTATGGCAGAAAATTGGGTTTTCCATGCATAATATATACAAAATCTGTCAATTTTGCACAACCTGTAGCGTGAAAAAAAGACCCGTGACCCATTCTTTTTATTATTTTTTTTTAAAAAGCATGATATACACTACATTTTGGCAAATTATTAAAAAATTCTATGGATTATAATTTAGACACCCCATCTACCTTAATACTATAAAACTAGGCTTGAATTTTACATTTTATCAACTGCAGTGTTGACATGATTCCAGTTTGTTGTCAAAAGAATCGTAATGTATGAGTAATATTCACATTTCTTGGATATAAAGTTAAATATAATCATGATAATGGCTTTGTAAAAACTCAACAGTTTAATGAAAAAAAATGCATGTCACACATGTATCATTTTATTGCCTTCTATCACTTCGTTTTAACTCTTTAAACTCCCTTTTAACTCTGGTTGATAGTTGTCTCAATGGCAATTAATCACATCTCATTGTTTTTATATTACGGTGCTTTACTGCTTGAATGAAAATGGTCCAGCAAATTACATGAGTTAACGGTTGTGAATAATTATCATAGTCATAAAAGAAAACAAATCAACAGTAGATGAGGTGACATAGTAAGAACTGGAACAAACTCAAAAAGTCTCGCAATCTTCTGTATTTTCTATTTTGTGATGTGCAACTTAATAAAAAAAACGTCGTAGCAATCTTATCACATTATTTTATATTGTTATATATTTTAAGTAAGGCGGAATTAACAATAATGTGCCAGAGCATGGTTATACACATCTTCTTGTGTGCTGCTTCCTGGTAACTTTTAAAATAATCTGCTAAACCTGGACTTGAAGTATGAAGTTGTTTTGATTAAAATTGATCTAAATGACGTATACCATATTATAGACCTGAAAATTCGTTAGTATTAGAACACACCCGTGACATCGCAGGTCCGTGACTGAATTAAAGTACATGTATATCTTTATTTTAAAACACCCAATGCATATTATTAATGATACGCAAAGATCACAGCAACAGCACCGACAGTATTTGACCACAGCTTTGTTACAAATCAACATAATTTTAAACACAGCTACTATACTGGATAACTAGACAAACAATTAAGATATTTAGGGTTGAGATCTCTAAAAACATGTTTAACCCCGCCGCATGTTTGCGCCTGTCCCAAGTCAGGAGCCTCTGGTCTTTGTTCGTCTTGTATCATTTTTAATTTTAGTTTCCTGTGTATAATTTGGAGTTAAGTATGACGTCCATTATCACTGAACAGGTATACATATTTGTTTAGGGATGATGAAGGACGCCTCAGGGTGCGGGAGTTTCTCGTAGCATTGAAGACCCATTGGTGGCAGTCGGCTGCTGTCTGTTCTATGGTTGGGTTGTTGTCTCTTTGACACATTCCCCATTTCCATTCTCAATTTTTTTTTTTTTATATATTACATAGATAATTAAACGCACGTTTACAAACTAAAAAGAAACAACTAAATAACTAAGTAACAACACATATTTGCATTATATGAAGCATTATATTAAATGAATCCTTGGAAACAGAGAATTTTAAATGATTTTTTTCTGGTGGGTCTTGGGATATATAGACCCACAATGCTGAATGATTCGAATGCTTAAAGGAACATTTTCCCTGACGGAATATTTAGTGCGAAATGTCTATAAAATCGGGCACATATGAGCATTGTGATACAAGTGCAAGTTACAGTTTACAAGATTTATTGATCTACCAAAATACAGTATAAAAATAGCACAAACGTTGCGTAGTGTTTGTACCGATATATCAGCAAACAGCGGACAAACACCGGTACGCAGTTAACAATAAACTTAATGTTCTTCAATAATTCTTTGTTGACGATTAACAATATGGTTTGTACTAGGATTATTCTTGAAATATATATAACGAACGCAGCTGTTATATGTTCACATAGTATGCTTGTTGTTGACAGAAATAGTGGTGGGAAGGTGGGATTTTCAATCACTTAATTATACTCCGTACGTGTCTTTAAAATGAAGGAATGAAAAAGTTTGTATTACCGTTGCGCATTAATAATTATATATGCCTATTATTTAACAGGAAGAGTCAAACATGCAAATATACTTACACTTTCATTTGACTTTTAACTTATAATTCTATAAATATATGTTGTACGTACGAAAAGATATTTTGTTTTTTGTTAGCAAACATTAAATAAATCAACACCTAAATGATTATGAGACAAGGTATTTAGGTGTGTTTTTCTCGTCTCAGGTTATCCTAAATTGATGAGACTGGCGATTTTCCTTGTGGAAAGCTACGGCAAAGTGTTAGATTTTACATATAAGTTACCAACATAATAATAGTATTTGTAAAATTAATAGACTCTCATGTAAAAATAATTTAATACTTAAACACGATATTACCATTATTTATATAAAAAGTATAAACTTACTTTATAAATTAATGTCTTCCCTCTGGTATATATGCACACGTGTCATCTCATCTTGATCTTAAGAAGTTAAACAGTTTTAATATGACACTTTAAAAAATGTACGTTTAAATTAAATTACATTTTATCGTCTGATAAACTAAAGTGAAAATTTCGCTTTGTCATACATAGGTCCGGGTGTTCTTATAATATTTCGATCATTGAAATTGCAATTCATTTTTTTTTACAAAAAATACCCTATCTCTATCCAAAGATAGGCATACTTGTAATAACCGAATAAGGGAATATCCTGTTATATTCATTTTATTAAACAAAAAATATTGCAGTTTAATGTGTTATTGTGTACTCCATGTAACGGTAAAATCCCCCGATTTATCATTGCCAATGCATTTGTTACAACTAATCTCCACATCCAAAGAAGATACTTTTTTCAAATTCTTAATTGGAAGGATATTAGTTATGTTATGTGTGTTACTTTCTTTACAACGGGTATCTTCTATGTCAGATCATGAATTGTTTGAGAAGTAACAATTTTTTTGGTGATGTAAATATTTCAGTGGCATGTTGGGAATTTTGTTTAGGTATGACATGTAAATTTCCTCTTATTTTCTCTAAAAGGAATTGTTCTTAATAAAGGAAAAGTGTAGGTTTTGTTCAGTGTATGTTTGAAAATATTAGTTTTAACTCTGTTTGAAAATATTCGACTGTTTTCAATGAAGATAAGTTTCATGCAATATACTTCAGAAACATTTAAGCCAAACAAATATGATGTGTCTTTTAGATTGACTACCCTTATATAAGGAGTTCTTGTAAAGGTTTCATCAAGGTTTTCATCACTCCTGGTTTTATGGGTATTAATGACATTTCTAATTTCTAATACTTGTGTCGTTAACTTTGTCATCATCATCATAATCACCATCATCATTAATATAAGTAGAAGAAGTTACAGCTGTTATTTAAAATGGTGGATGCATTTCAAAATTAAAAGAAAATAAAATTGGTTATGATAACATGGTTATTTACATTCTTATAACTATAAAGCAATAACTGTTTGTATACAGTCCGGCTATTTTATCAGTTTACATTTTAGTCTGTATGCTTTGATTCTATTACTGTTATTATAACTCCATTATATTAAATCATTGCCTCATTTTAGTTTGTTATTACACGTGTTCAATACATTATTTCTCTATGTCGGTTCATTCCGGTACATAGATATAAGAAGATCTGGTATGAGTGCCAATGAGACAACTTTCCATCTAAGTCAACATTTATAAAAGTAAACCATTCTAGGTCAAAGTACGGTCTTTATGTCGGTTTATTTCGGTTCATTTTGGTGATTATTCTTCCCGTCCATTAACTGTCATTTAAAGACGTCAAATTTCCGCTCTTGATTATCGGATTCAACTGTACAAAAACCATGAGTTAAAATGTTCGTGTTGACACAAACTAGGAGCTGCCCCTACGTCAACAGTACATTAATTTTTGAAGGTGATACGGAATATTTACAAATGATTTATCAACAAGGTCTTGGCATCGTCCGATGAACTTTTTGTTTTAGAAAAAAGACGAGACGTTCTTTAACATAACCCTGGTTCATCAAATTTCTGCTTAAACTGGTGACATTTCATAAAGTCTGATTAGCAGCTGTTGTTCTGCAACCCCAAATGGCAATAAATTCCAAACTTGAAGTAAAATCCGTCACCCTAGTGTAAGTTTAAGACTGCCCGTAGCAGATGTTTGAACGTAATATTATTTGATTAATGTTGGTCCCGATTATTATATTTCTATAAAATAACAAACACAAAAACCAAATGATATACAGTAGCGATTGATATTTTTATTAGGAAAAGTGTATAACAAAAAGAAACATTAAAGTATGATTAAAGAAAAATAAAAAAATCAATAAAAAATCAAAATCAAATATATCTAATAGTATCGTTAGTGTAACTGTTAAAAAAAACCCACCTTAAATTAACTTGAAACTGAGGCTTTAAGGGATGTTCACCTGTCATGTATGTATTAGTTATACGTTGACCTATATAACAATTAAAGCCGTATTTAAAGCTGAAGACAAAGTAATAGGAAAAAACATGTATTACTGACATGCAGATTATAGCTTGTTCTATTCCTCATGTCAACTCATGGATTTTTCAACAATTGAAACAACATACTTAAAAAGTACACACAACATTTCATATGTGTATAAAACGTAAGAACAATGTAAAATGTGCCTTACAAGACAAATGTTATTTAAGAAAGCATAAATGCAATCTTGGTGTTAGATCTGTCGGGAATTGAACCACTTGTGGATTGTTCTAAATTATTGGATATTAAGCTGACAATTCCTGCATCAAAGCATGATGAGCTCCATTCCTTTCAAGTCTTTGTATCGAAAACACCTACAACTTCATCTTGTGTATTCAGTAAATACATACTTATGTCCTCCGTGGTGTCCTATTATCTTTGAAATGCACGAGCCATTATGATTTAACTTTCACAAGGAAACTTTTTTTACTCCCAATCTTTTCAAACATTAAATTTGCAAATGACTTGGCTTGAAAAGAAAGAGTTTCTTAAACAAAACAAACATGCATGCCAGAAACACGCAAGATGAAGTCATTCATGTCTTGAAAGGCGTGTTAGGTGTGTTATTCTCGTCTCAGGTTATCGTACATTGATCAGACAATTAACACCATACATTTCTTTCCCAGACGATATTTTTTTATAGCTATAGAGAAGTGTCAGAGTTTAAATATAAGTCTCTAACATGATAATAATATTTATGAAATTAAAGAACTGTCATGTAAAAAAAGTTTAATAGTAAAACATGATATTACCACTATTTATATAAAAAATTATAAAATTACTTTATAAATTAATCTGATCTCTCTGGTATATACGCAAACTTCTCATCTCATTTTGATCATAAGAAGTAAAACAGTTTGAATATGACACTATATAATTTTAAAAATTTTATTTTAAATTGAGTGAAATATTATCGTCTGATAAGCTAAAGTGAAATACTGCTTTGTCATACATATGTCCGGGTTTTGTTATGATATTTCGATCATTGAAATTGCAATACATTTCTTAACCAAAAATCTCTGACTCTACGCCAATATAAGCATAGTTTTAATTACCTTAGAAGGAAATGTTTCGTGTTATATTTTTCTGATTGAGAGAAAAAAAATCTTGCAATAGAACTTTAGTTTGTGTATCCGATGTCATGGTAAAACCCCCAGATATATAAATGGGAATACATTAGCTGCAACTATTTTCCACGTCTTGAGAAGATACTTCTAAAACGTCCTAATTGGAAGGATTTTGTGTTTGGTACGTGTGTCACTTTTCTTGAGCACGGTTATCTTTCAGATCAGATTGATACATTCTGTCGGTATTTGTTATGTCAGAACATGAATTATATGACAAGGAACATTTTGTTTTGGAATCATTATGTAGATAATCAAAATTCATGTTGGGCATTTGTAAGCATAGATTTTGTCATTTTGTTTAGGTATGACATGAAAATTTCTGTAAATTGTATCTAAAATATAATGTTTTTAGTATATATAAACATTCTTTGTTTGTAAATTGTGTTGCTTATCTTTTAAACTAACCGTGAACGAAAAATCCGCTAATTAACTAATGCAGGCTTATGTCTAACATGTACTCCCGACATTATATTAGCAGAAATTACGAAGTCAATTTTTTAGTAAAAAAAAACATTAAAGATACATGACTAGACATTCAAAACACATGTGCGAATCAACTATATTGTAGTAAAATAATACGTTTTAAGGTTGATATAATTCTGTCAAGCCATTATAAGAAGTTTCAGAGTAATTAATTGGTGTATTATGTCCTGTATAGAAATATGAAAAGAAAGACAATGCATATTAAAACTTTTTTTTGCCGCAGCTGAACGCTATCAGATGACAAAATAAACAAAATGAAATCAAGGATATTCGAAAATTCTAAAAGCAAACTCAATATGATACATACAGTGTAATATCGGCGGATGTATTTTTTCACAAACGGTATTATGGAACCATGCAGATGCTATGATAGAATAGCAATAGTAAATATAAAAAAGAAGATGTGGTATGATTGCCAATGAGACCACTCTCCATAAGAGACCAAATGACACAGAAATTAACAACTATAGGTCACCGTACGGCCTTCAACAATGAGAAAAGCCCATACCGCACAGTCAGCTATAAAAGGCCCCGAAATGAAAATGTAAAACAATTCAAACGACAAAACTAACGGCCAAATTTATGTACAAAAAATGAACGAAAAACAAATATGTAACACAAACAAACGACAACCACTGAATTACAGGCTCCTGACTTTGGGCAGGCAAATACATACAGAATGTGGCGGGTTTAAACATGTTAGCGGGATCCCAACCCTCCCCTAACCTTGGACAGTGGTGTAACAGTTCAACATAAGAACGAACTATAAAAATCAGTTGAAAGAGGCTTAACTCATCAGATGGATACAAATACAAGTACTACAAATACAAGTGGACGTGGCCGGGTACTTGTACATCCAAACAACAAAAAGACACTGAGTACAGATCTGAGAGTACTCGCAGTTACTGACAGCTAGTTCAAAGCCACTAACAACTAAAAAAAAAAATCATGCATCTAAGACTTCATTATCAATCCGTACACATCCAACATCCAATGGATTTAGTGTAAAGACGTCATAAACAGTCAGAGAAAACATGACCTTGTGCAATGCCAAGATACAGGTATCGACAGATTGTAGATCCATGAATGTGTTTATGTATATAACAATAATATTTAGTTTGCTTTTTCATTTACTGATAACAAAATAAATATCAGTACCAATAAAAACAATATTTAATGATTTAATTACAGTGTTGAATTGGTAACCTTTTAGAATAAGTTTATTTAAAGGATCGATAAGTTTACCAGGATCGTTTCTAAATTTACGGGCACGGTTAGCAATATTGCCGTAAAAATGAGGATGTGCAATCCCGTTTGAAATAAGTTTTCTACAGGTACAACCAAACTTCAAGACCAAATCTCAATATCTGTGGAAGAATTTAGTAAAGGTTTTAATCAATTTGTGGTAACGAAATCCCTGGCTTAATAATTTACCAGTAATACATAGATTACGTTCGTTAAAATCAAAAACGTCACAATAGACACGGGCATAACGATCGAGTTGTGAAATATAAACACCGTAAGATGGTGCCAAAGG